TTTTTGCCCGAAAATAGTGGTGCATGCCTTATTTCTTTCCTCCCTGCTGGGCACTGCTGTGTGAACCAGCAAGGAGGAGATGAACTGTCACAGGAGGCCGAGCTGTGAGGGTGGAGCGCCAGCGTCTTTCCTCCCCGCACCGCTGAGCCTCTTGTCACAGATCAGGAGAGAGGCGGTGTGGGTGGAGACAGCCATTGCTGTCACAGGAGGCTGTGATCTCTCCTCCCGCACCGCCCTGCCCAGCCTCCTGTGACTCTCAATCCAGGACGGAGAGCAGCGGTGTGGGTGCAGACAGTTGTCATTGCTCTCACAGGAGGCTGATCTCTCCTCCCCCTCCTGCCCAGCCTCCTGTGACAGCATGTCAGGATGGAGAGCGGGTACAAACATGTTTGTAAATAATTGAGGGCAGAGTATGTTTACGGTGTCTTCAATTGTGAATGAATGGTAAGTGATCATCATTTCCTGTTCATTCATGATTGTGGATATAGTAAACACACTGAGGGGAATTTATCCAAACTAGAGCAGCTGTGCACGGCAACCAATCAGCTTTTCTTTCTTTCATTTTCAAATCTTTACTGAACAAAACTAAGAGAGAAGCTGATTGGTTGCCATGGGCAACTGCTCCAGATTTTGTCTGCTCCAGTTTTGATAAATCCCCCTCACTCTTTTTCTGTTTTAAAAGGGAAATATCAGGGATCTGTTTAGACCCCTAATATTTACCCAAAGCCCCTAAAAGTAAATAATAAAAATATTTTATAAAAATAAAATATAAACGATTAAAAAATATATAAACAATAAATAAAATATTTACATACACCAAAAAGTCAATATGTAGCTTTCGAAGGATACCTTTTAAATGCTTCATGCATTCAATTTATTAAAGCTAAACTACGTGCATTTAAAAAAAGACTTCATTATGTGACAGCACCCAATCTCCTAGTCTTTAAATATTGTATTTTAGCTTACACTTGTAGCTCCATGCATTTTATATAATTCAGCTCTTGGGGTGGGGAGGAATGGCGGTAGCACTGTGAACTGTGCAGCCTTTAGTAAACTGTACTATAGTTTCCAATATCCACCAGCAGTGCCACCTTCTATGAGGAACAGTGTGCAGTGCAATTTCCCTAGTGTCTTCACTTCTTGACATCCATTGACACAGTGCAATCACTGTGAAGACGCATGACTATGTGAAGACTAGAGGGAAGTAATCTACTCCAAAAGTTCTATACTCCTTATTCACCCCAGCTTATGTCACTTTGCTTGCCCATCCTCATGACTGTGCACAGATGACACCCCCCACCCCAGAGTAGAGTAAAATCATCCTTAACAAATGCTTGACTTACACTAAGGAGCAGCTGTTGTGCAAATCGCAGCTGTTGTGTGTCCAAGAAGAGACCAGTCGCACCTGCCAGCATATGCTGCTTTCAGCCTCATTGTCTGGCGGTCTCTCCTTACCCGACTAAGAGTTAAGCAGAATGCACGTACACACCAGTGCTTCAAGCAAGCCAAGTGCAGTTGTTTGTTTCAGCTATTCAGCATGTACTGTTTTTACCAGTATAGCTCTTAAATATCCTTTTCCTTTTTTTTGTAACTATTCTAGTTATTTTAAGCCTGCATCCCATTAGCATACATTACCAGTCAAATGTTATAGAACCATTTTTTCTAGTTTTTATTGACGTTCGGGATCAGTGAATAACCTGTTACTTAGGGAAGCAGGAAACTGCCAGAGGTTAAAAGGAAAACGGAAAAATGTAATGTAAATGTCAGAGTTAAAAACCCTGCAAAATGTAGATCTTTTCTTTAGAGAAACGTTTGAAAAGAAAAAGCCAAGGTGTCAGTATAGCATTAAAAGGCACTTTTTGTATAAACCTCTTCAGTTCAAGCTTGCACTACATTTTGGCAATTTTCAATTTCAATCACCTGGGTAACACATCTATGATCATAAATATTCTATCACCCTGGAGTTTAATTAGCCTCTAGAATAAGGTTGATTGGGCAATAAATTGACAGCTTCGATGCAGTTCATTGAAAGATTAAATGAAAATGGCTTAAAAAGGGGGAAATTAACTGCAGCAATTTCTTTCGATCACACAACAAAAAGCTTAAAGCAGAACTCCAGGGGGGAAATGTATCAAAGTTATACTCACCCAAAGTTCAGAGCCGCCCAGCTGTCACAGCACTCCCTGCAGGCTGTCCCCTCCTCCTCCGCAGAATTGAATGTTCCTCAGCGTCCTCACTAGGGCTGCAACAACTAATCGATTATAATCGATGATTGAAAAAGTTGTCAACTTTTTCAATCATCGATTAATCGGCTTCTGGTTAGTTGGCCCTTTTCACGGCTCCACACACATTCCGCGCCACACCTCCTCCCAACCTCACGCTTGCCGCTGCCAGACCCGCCCGCATCCACACGCCGCACCTCCTCCCCGCCTCACCGCCCTCCCACATCCACGATCGGCACAGGGACGCGGGGAGAAGAAGAAGAAGTAAGTGTGAGTGGATGACAGCCGCCGATAGGCAGGCCCGATCTCAGAAGCAAGTTGCTGGAAGACTGTGCTCAGGTAAGCCTGCACTCCCCCCCACATGGTGCTCTATAATGTATTGCTGGGATTTGTATTCCTCTATAGCTGATGGTACATTGTGCTGTATATTATACAGAGGACTACAAATCCCAGCAATAGTACATTATACACTTTATGTATAATGTACTATTGCTGAGATTTGTTGTATCCCTTTACAGCTGGTGGTATTCTGCATTGCGCTGTATAGAGGACTACAAATCCCAGCAATAGTACATTATACAGCACAATGCAGAATACCACCAGCTATAATGTATTGCTGGAATTTGTTGTATTCCTATATAGCTGGTGGTATTCTGCATTGCGCTGTATAATATATTATTTCTGGGATTTGTTGTACTTCTCTGCAGCTGGTGGTATTCTGTATTGTGCTGTATAATGTACTATTGCGGGGATTTGTAGTCCTCTATAGCCGATGCCATTCTGCATTCATTGCTGCATAATTTTACACTTCATTTCACTATATTGCACACCCATTACACAATCGGTGGAGGTTTAGGCACTTCTTTTTTTTTTTTTTTACACATTAAGCTAGATTAAGCCATTTCCACATTAAATGTTTTAGGATGTCCCTCAGCATGCAGTTGCACTGAGATTTGTCATCATTTCAGAGCCATATCCGATTCATTGAAGTTTACCTTTTCAGTAAGTTTAAACATCTGCATGAATAACTGCCTGGTATGTCCCAATATACAGTAACATATGCTCTCATATATATGAGAGAGAGAGATATCCTTTCATCATTAAAAGCAATCCTTCAGTGCCTTTGCCTGGGCATGATGTTCCATGATAGGATGATGTCATCAGTCTGCTGAAGGTGGGAGGAAGCATTGCCTGAGACTTCTCTTCCCCAGTAATAAGACTACAGTATTGTAACGTTGTAGCAAGCCACAGACTGACAAGCTGCAGCAGATGGTTGATCTTTGTGAGAGATTGTTGAACACAAAAACTGCACAAGCACCAGGATTTCATGACTGTGTCATCTCTGAAACCCCATTCACACTGCGCTACAACAAAATTAGCGCTGATTTGAGCTGAGCTACAGTGCACATTCTGTCACGCTACGTAGCGCTTCTTTTGGCAGTCTATCAAAGTCTATTGGAGCCAAGCCGCTCAAAATCCAGCAAAACATAGCTCATGTTCGAGCGACAAGCTACAGGCGACATTGAGCTGCAAGATGTGAACATCTCCATTGAAAGGCATTGGAAGAGTTAAATTGAGCTTCATATTTGAGTGATTTTTTGAGCGGAAATCACGCTACAAATCGTTCAGTGTGAATGGGGTCTCAGTAAAAAGATGGTGCTGTCCTTCTAAAGGCCAAAGTAGATGAAGATATTGTCTGGGGGAGTACTGTGATTTCTGGGAGAAGTATTAAATGCCTGTAAATATTGCTGTAAGTGGTGCATCAAGTATGAATGCACAGTGCAGTGTGTATTCCTGGCATCATCAGTGGTGTATTTAGGTTTTGTGCTGCCCTAGGCAAGACTACACTCGGGCACCCTCCTAATGGGCGGTAAAGAATCTCTTGTGGGCTCTGCGGAGTCTGAGCCAGAGACCCCGCAGAGCCCACCACAGCCCACCTGGGACTAACAGATGGGCTGTGCAGGGTACTGTTCCCCACGCACACTCATCTCATGCTGCTCCTTTTCCCTAAACCCCCCAGCCTGCCTCCAGGTCATCCCGTCGTCAGATGGTGGGTTATGGGCAGCCCTTCTGCCTTGTGCCAGCCCTGCCTCTGATCCTGCCATCATCATTACATCATTAGTGGCTGCCCATGGCTGAAGAAGAGTTATGTGGGACCCGGTAAATATGGAGGAGAAGATGGCAGGGGATGAAGCTTTGACTGCGAGCAGGGACTTGGCAGTGCTGGAAAAGGGCACACTAGGAGATAAATGTGCTTTACACACTTGCACATCATGCCAAAAGCCTACCTCCAGCCAGCGGATGTTAGCCCCCGCTTTTCTAAGAACTTTTTAGAACTTTATATTGAATAAAGCATATATTTATGTAATGGTTTAAAATATTATGATGATTGTTTTACAAATCAGTCATGTAATATGCATTGGAACACGTAATTTATTTTCATATTGGTAAGATCCTCGGTCAATTTACCTATTATGACAGTCCAGCTCTGTTTTAGTTATATTTGTGTAATCAATTTTGATTAAGCGATTTGAAAGGGTGCCTGCACAAACCGAATCAGATCTTTGTTTCTTTTCAACCCGCCCAGACAGGAAAATGCAATCACAGAATACAAGAACACAGCTCCTTCACAGCTGATAGAGTCAAAATCCTGGGTGCCTACCTGCTGAACTCGTCCTAATGCACTCAGGTCAAACATACAAAATAAATTTAGTACCACAGATTTCCCCCCAACGTTTGTTGTAGATTGAACAACTAAATATATATTCACAACTTAGATCCACCCAATCACGACATGTTTCACCCAATCATTGGCTTATTCGTGGATGTTCCAAGTTTACCTCCTGGTAAAAAAAAAATTTATGAATTGAGCACAGGTCCCTTCAGATGTCCTAAAAACACTTTCTGGTAGAGTTTCAGGCTGGACTTCTGCTTTCCACACCTCCCTATTAGCTCAGCACTATAACTGCACATGGTGCCTCTCTGTCCATTAGAAACATCTGGGAGGGAAAATGGCTGAGCCAGCATTGTATCACTGCCAGGAAGAGTTGAAGCTTGCAGATTGATGGACCTGGTTTTTTTTAGGGTACTGGGCCACGTTTCCAGGCCCTGAAAGATATGTAGTGTCTGCATTTTTTTATGTGCAGTGTAATTATTAAGCTAGATAATGTCTGCAACCTAGCTGTGAATGAAAACTGCAACAATTATCTGTAAAATGCTTAACACCAAAATACAGAGAAGTTACCAGATAATCGAGTTGTGTTGAGCCAGCAGGACCACATACCATTCGAATTTTGGAAGATTTCTGTGAAATTCTAACAATGTATGGCTCGCTTAAAGTGACATTAAACCCTCAGATTTTTTAACATAAAACAATACTGTAATGTGTGCCTTACTGTAATCCATGGTTGTTTCCCTTTTCTTTGCTGCTCTTCCTTTTTAATCTGTATCTGTTCTCATGCTCTGCAGAACTTCTGTTTTGCAGCAGACTGCCTTGTCTCAGGAATGGATACACGGTGTCTGTGTATACGTTTGTATAGGCTTGAAACCTGAGCCAGCACTACAGGAAGAGGCCCTGAGCTGAAAAGGGAAGTTCTCCCCAAGCATGAGAAGACATGAGGATTTAAAAGGAGGAGCAGCAAATAGTCCAAAAAAATTTTTTTAAAAAAAAGTGTTTTTCTTGCCTCAGGTGAAAAAGGAGCTGGCTACGGCTATGCTCCCGTGGTGCTCGTGCGGCTGCCGGCTGAATG